CTCTAGTGGCTTCTTAAATGGATGCTCTGCTAGCAGGTCTGCAGCCAAAGCACTCTCTGCATATATCACTCTCCCCTCTCTGTGTATGATTCTCCCGTTCTTGGAGAGGGACCTACTGTATCCTGGCATTACACCTGTCTCCTATGCCAGCACTGGCAGGGCTGTGTGGGGAGCCCAGGGCTGGAATAGCAGTGGGCTGCAGGGCAGGAATGAGGGGCACTGGCAGAGCTGTGTGGGGAGCCCAGGGCTGGAATAGCATAGATGGGCGCCAGTGTTCCCTGTAAGCTCTGCGCTTGTGTGGCTGCCTAACAGCGATTCAACTGATTAGCAGAGTGCCCTCAGCTGGGTATTTTGTTTCTGCTGTTGGTGCACACTGGCACATAACATTTATTCCAAACATGGATGGAAAAGATTAGAGGGGACATTGGTGGGAGCCAAGGTTCCTGCTAAGGTGCGTGGCAGCAGAGCTCTGCAGCTGCTTAATCAGCCCTGCCCAGCCAGAGGCTCAGGGCTCCATGGACGGAGCTGATTAAGCAGCTGCAGGGCTGTGCAACCTTAGAGGGAACCTTGGTAGGAGCTGCAGCTTGGTAGTGAGGAACGTTGGCTGAGCTTTGTGGGAAAACAAGGATCCCAGCCCCATCCCTCCTTTCAAGCAGGTATCTTCCCTGTGGCAGCTTGTATAAGTCAGCTCATGTCTGTGCTGCCAAAACTGGCATATTGTTCCCTTGGGTTACCAGCTTACATGTTAATGTTAGTTAACTTATAGTTCTGGATGGCACTATAAACACATAGAAACTTTAGTTCAGCTGCTCTCCTCCCTTCCCTAGCAAACATTATAGATTTTCATTGAACTGCTGCACTTTTGTACTCCACACAGGGTTCCAAGAAATGGACCTTCATTACAGCGTATGCAGGATAGGGGGCTGGCAATGCAGGCAAGGCAAGGCAGAGCCTGGGCAGAAGGGACGAGGCAGGGCTGGGCTTTCACCCGCTGCCCATGTTACTCAGGAGTCCATTGGCCTGCATCAGACCTAGTTCCAGCCAGTTGCAGGTCCTGGTGGGGACATCTGCCAGGTCTCTTAAAGACGTGCTTTACGATAGTCCCTGAGGTGTGTGTAGGTGCCCATGTGTCTGTCTGGCCTTATTTGCACCTGTTTGTCTGGGAGCAAGGAAGAGGCAGATGCTAGAAGTCTGTTTGCTCCTGCATATGGATCTCTAGCCAAGACTGGTAGGCTCAGAAACAAGTGGAGCCTGAGGTTAGGTGTGGGGCTAGAGCCACGTAGCAAGAAAGTTGTGCTTTGGCCCCATACATGCTAAAGAAGGTTGCTGACGATGGTACTTGGAAAGCTGAGGGGATCCCATCCGAGATGAAATCAAAACGATCCAGTTCTAACAGTTATTTTACTAACCAGGTCCAACAAATACAAGGGCTTGATAATACCCAAACAGCAATTTCTAAATCTCCCTGTGTAACTGAAACATCGATCTGCCATCTGGTTCCCTTAGAAGTAGGTGATGTAGAAATGGAACATTTATTCTAATTACTGCACCCCGGTGCTTCAGGCCCAAAGTATAAAGCAAGGCGTAGCCTTCTGGGCACAGCTGGCGACTGGAGTCACCTGTCAATTACACCAGTTTGTACCAATCTAACTCCAAGAGCCTTGGGAACAGCCAGTGTGCACCTATGAGCGTTGAAGTCCAAAGCTAAGCGAGGCTACTGCTGTCCCCAGAATTGATTCCAGATGATTGTTGCTTACAGGAGAGAGGTGGTTGCCTCTGACAGGTAGTTTAAGCTTGCTGAATGCTTGGAGGTGCTCATTTAATAAAGGGGAGGGGGGCATTAACACAGCTTTCACTGAGTTCTCTGTTGTTTTATGTGCTGATTTGTAATTTGCTTTGTAAGGTGGGGATTTTTGAAGGAGCCTAAGGGGGTTTGCCCTAATGGGGCACCTAATTTATTCAGGCTGCTTTGAAAACCCAAGCCTTAAAATTTAGGTTAAGTGCAAAACCTACAATCCCCCTGGTCAGGCAATGGGCCAAATTAATGCCAAGATGGGAACAAGACACTTGCAATGCCTGGGCTTTTAACATTTAAACTTGTAACTCTTCACATTATAGTAGTGGGAGTTTTTTGGTGCACGTCTGCATATGTATTTGTATATCTGCATGTGTGTATCGGCACATCTGGCTGCATTGGGGCTTCTGCATTAGTGTGTCTGCAGGTGCCTTTGTGTTGGTGTGTCGATGTGTGTCTGCAGATGGCAGGGATGTGTCCATGTAGATAATTATAAGAATTTTTATTTGTCTGAGATATAAATAAAAGGAATTTAGGATAAAATGAGAAGCCTGAAAACAGCATTTGGTCTTCGCTGCTTCCTCTTTGCATTTGACTGTCTCCCTGGCAATGAAGTCACTTTGTAGTAATAACTCCCTGGTGCTGTATGTATGCACGTCTCTGTGTTTACATTGGTGTAGGGTAACTCTATGCACTGCACACACAGTCCCCTGCTCCCTTGTCACCTTTGTTAAGTTTGATTGTCAGAAGGAGTTGTATGTATTTTCCCCAGCTGTAGCCCTGCAGGTGCCACTTAGCCTGGCAGAATGAATCTTTGTCTTTTATTTGCCTCCTGCATCATGGGCATTCAGGGCCAAAGAGCAGCTGACAGCATTGCAACACTCCGGGCGCCGGCAGCTCCGGAAATGTGGGGCAAGGTGGCAAAGTGAGAGTGGCATGTGGAGCAGCTCAGCGAGGAGGGCGGGAATCAGGCAGTGCACTGAATTCATATACTGCACATCCAGATGCAGAGAGGTACCCTAGCAAGAGAATGTGTTTGGATCTCTGGTATTCCCTAGTGCCGTCTTCTAAAATCACACCATGCAGATTAGCAGCACTCATGGACTGTGTCCTGGACTAGCAGGATGTGGTGCACTTCAGAATTGTGGTTCCTTGGTAGAGTGGTTGGGGACTGGAATACCAGAGAGGTGGGGGCTGCTGGGCAGGAGTGAGGGGCACTGGCAGGGCTGTGTGGGGAGCCCAGAGCTGGGATAGCAGGGGGGCTGCAGGACAGGGGTGAAGGGCACTGGCAGAGCTGTGAGGAGACCTCAAGGCTGGAATAGCAGGAGCTGCAGAACAGGAGTGAGGAGAATTGGCAGAGCTGTGTAGGACAACCAATGGCAGGGTTAACAAGAATCCTGATTCCTCCTACAGAGCAGGTATCTGTTTCATGGCTTCTTTTATGTCTACACTGCTAAAACAGACATATTCTTAGCTCAGGTTAGCTAACCCAGGTTAGTTAACTTGGGTTAAAAGAGTAGTGAAGTTCTGGCAATTTAACTTTTAACACAGATTAGCAGCTTGAGTAAAACTCTCCAGGGCAGCCTGGGGTTGAACTTGAGCTGGCAATCTGAGTTCAAACTTGGTTCTCATGTCTTTGACGCTGTTTGAACCTGGGGTAGCGCATCATCTTTGCAGTGTAGATGTACTCTTAGCATGCGGTGGTTGCTTTGCTTTCCATTTGGATGGTCATTATTCCAAGTCCGGCTCACATTCAGAGCTGAAGGAATAAGCCCCATGTTCTTTTTTTTGTGACTCTCACAAACCAACTGGGAAATTCTTAAATATGTTCTTTATTCAAAATTATTTTCACATTCCAAAAGGAAAGAATTATGCATGTAAGAATTATTTTAGTATTTTTACTAGTCTACAGGTTTATGATGATGCACTTGGCTTCAAATATTAACAGTTGTGCTATGCTAGTTGGTTACATAACACATGATGTTCTTTCATTTCCCTGATTGGATGACTTATGTAACTAATCCTGCAGCACAAATGTCAAGGTTTCCAACAACCATTTCTGTTGGCGAATACTCAGGTGTAGAATCCCCTTTTGTCAGCGGGGTTGAGTGCTTGCCAGTCTGCTGACGGTGAACTTGGAAGAGTTGTGAATATGACTGAATCCATATTCTGTTCCACATATTTGTGGACAGCTTTTCCTTTCTATTTGCTAGGCTCGTAAGGATTGCCTCATTATACCACCCTGGGCATCACGGAACACCCTGCCTCCCAGCAGTAGGGTGAGAGCATATGTCACCAATGGCTGGGTTCTTTAGACTCTTAAAAAGGGGGAAATGTATCTTTGCTCTGTGTTGCGCCAGTTGAAACTTCAAGGTAGCTTATGGGATTAGTGCTAAGTAAATTGTGTCACTACGGTCCAGTCTGGGCGAAACAGAGCATGCGACCATGATATTAGGGTAATGGATGCAATCTCCTGGCCTGCGTAAATAGAAGGGACCATTCTTGGCTATTGGCATTATGGCTAATACTATCTGGCCACCCCTGAGCAATAAGTTTGCTTGTTGCCTCGGTGTTGCGAAGAAAGGGTGAATGCCTGAGGGGAGGTCGTGCCTGCTAGCTCCTACCTAGCTCTGTTCGAGCCATTATAATCACATTTCAAAGCATTAACATTTCTTTCCACGTGCAAAAACTTTCCTGTTCATACTGAATTTTGTTGAGAAAAAATGAAGGGCTAATTGCATGTCTCCTTTATCATGAAGTTATTTCTCTCTCTCTCTCCCATCACCCCCTGGTTCAAACTTTTTGTGGGTGGTTTCCCTTTTGGGCAGCATCAGAGCTGCCAACTATCTCACTGGGAGGTGGGTTTTCAAATGCCACTCCTCATCTCTAGGACAGCTTAGCTTCTCTTTCAGATTTTCCCCTGTTTTCAGATGGGCCCCATTATTTTCAAAGGGACAGAAGCCAGAATGTCCTCAGTTAAGATGGCTGCCATTTCAGCTTTGGCTTTTGCAATGGCTCCATTTTGCAAAGCACTGAGGGAACCACGTCACCTTGTTAGGCCTGTGGTGGCTGGAAAGGGACTGCTGTCTCCATCTCAGGGTTAGTGCCATGCCACACTCATGTACAGTGCTGTGTGAAAGGGTTGTCAGTGCAAGAGTGCTAGAAAGAGGGTGAATGCTTGAATTTTGTGTCCCTTTCTTTACAGGTCTGGTGAGCCCCCTCGAGGTGTCAGTGAGCTCGGGGAGTATCCAAGTTGCTCGGGGACAGACAGCAATTCTGCCCTGCACTTTCACCACTAGCGCTGCCCTCACTAACCTTAATGTCATCTGGATGGTCATTCCCCTCTCCAATGCCAACCAGCCGGAACAGGTACCAGTGTTCATTGGAACATGGAACTTTCTGCATCTTTCCCTTCCCTTGTCCTATCCATACCACTTGAGCAGGGGGGTGTATGATGGGTGTGGGTTGTCTGATGACCCTTCTGGATTCTAGTTCACAAAAACTGTGTAGCATCTAGTTGTCTGCATTAGCGTGCCCAGCCCTTGACTCAGGATAGGTGTCACTGAAGACAAGGCCTTCTTGTTGCCCCGGCTCTGGAAGGGCTCAGCAGTGGAGCAGCAGTGTGATGTAGCTCCAGATTGAGGATGTTTGACAGAACTCACTGTGCCTCGAGGGGCCATTCCATTTAGCTGTGTTGCCTTCTATGACCAATATTGACTCTTTCCTTTAATATCATTGTATCTCCAGTTGCCATCCAATTGTCCCTGCCATCCTATGTGCCCTGTGTTCCTTCCTCACACCTTGTTTCTAATTCTTTCCCACTGCCTCATTCAGCAGCCCTCTTGTATCCCGTCTCCTTAGTTGTTCTGGTTTGACTTGTACACTGGGCAGGTGTGCAGTGTGCCGTGAGCGGTTGTGTGTTCTAGGTATTCTATAGATAGGATGGGGCACTGAGAGGATGGTCCTGTGATGTGGGGACTTGGAGGTGGCTCTGGAGGATCTGGAAGCAGTTGGAGACTGAAGCTGAAAGGAAGATTGATCCTTTTGCACTGGGGTTCTGGAATATTTCCATTCTGCAGAGCACTTCTTAGGAGTCAGATGTTCTCACGGGCCCACCTGCTCTCCTAACACCCCACTGCTTGTTGCTTGTGAGGTTTTGTTCTGACGGGCACCAGGAGGGCCTCAAGATGTGTGTGGTGGCCCAGAGACCATAGTCTGAGGACCACTGGGCCCTATGCTCAGACTGCTACGAAACCTTAGAAAACTTTGTTCGGAAATTCACTTGTCCCAGATCAGCTTAGGCACTAGATGTTCAGTTATGAATTCTGGAATCCAACAGTGAAAAGTGTCTGGTTTTCACCTGTGCATGTTGTTGTACCACCTGTGTAAGTAGTCTCTTATTTCCTGGTGGTGAGCAGTGTTCCTTCTAAGATTTTCCATACATGAGCAGAGAGAGTTTCATCTTGTGCACCAGTATTAAATTCATGTGCGCTTGTGCGGATATGTGCCACTGTGGCAGGCACCCAAGTTATTAACAAATATAATATTTATAAAACGTTATGGAAGGAAGACTATTAAGATTCATGAAAATGGAGCTCCAGTACTTTACATGAAAATATAATGCCCAGAAATATTCCAGTATGTGCCAGACTAGACAGATAACCTTTTCTCCTTGTAAAACCAAGCCTAAAATAAACTGTCAGATAAGATCTGAACCCCGTTTCCACTGCCCTATGTCAGTCAAGCCCTTCATATTGATAATATGAAGAAAATGAGATAGGGAGAAAGTTGGCATGCAGTGAGGGCACAAATTAGACAAGAATAAGTTAAAAATGGAAAGTGTAGAAAAGGGGGAAATAAATAAGGGGAAAATGGAAGTGAGAAGATGAGAGAACAAAAACCAGAGTTAGAAAAAGAGGATGAAGTAGGATAAGAGAGTCAGGAAAAAGGGAAACAAAAAATTATTAGAAAAATTACACCAAAAATGATGTATGTCGCAGGGGAAGGAAAGATGGAAAGGAAAGAAAGTTGAAACCGGAGGGGTTCTGAGCCAGGGTGACGAAGCACTTGGGAAGAGAAGGTCTCTTGACGGAGTATTGGAAGTAAATATTAGCTCTTCGAGGTTCACATAGGGATAAATACTATTTTCACGGTCCACCCAAATCGCTTCTCTGGACTCCCCCTTTCTGTTTCAATTAACCTTCAAACACTGCAGGGTTGGGACGGGGAAAAGAGCAACAGGGGGAAGCCTCCTACCTGCAACCCCATCTGTTACTTTGGACCCTGCCTGTGTCATTAACAATCAGCAGCGAGGTCTGTTCCGGGCGGAGGGCGGGGGGGAAGGGGGAAGGGAGGAGCAGGTGGAGGCAAGTCCGGCACTGCTGGTGGCTGTGTCATGCGTACAGTGGAGGTGCAAGGGCGGGATCCTGGAGCAGCAGACTAATAACTCCAGTTCTCTCCCCCTCCTCCCCATTACCCTCTTCCTCTTCCCAAACCAAACCACCCATGCACTCACCCGCCACTCTCAGCCGCTAGGGCACCTTCCTGCCACCACTCCTGGCCCCCTTTGCGGGAGAACCGTGCAATGGTTGAAGCTCAGGGCTGCTGCTGGAGCTGGAACAGGGGCTGTGAGGAGGCTGCCCCAGCAGGGAAAGCCTCATG